ATTTGCATGACTGGCTACAACACAGCTACTAGGTTAATCCCTGCCGTTGTATATTATCTTAAAGCGCACGCATAATTTACTATCCCTGCACTTGCCAGCGGAATCCACAGAGAACACAGCTGCACTTAGATTCACAGTTCCTGAGTAAAACAACTTTAAATTCTAAATTACAAGTCTTCCTATACTTACAGTTTATGAAATGTAAGCACCGTACGGATCATTAGGTTTTGCTATCTGCTCTTCATCCGGAAGTTGCTGTGAGATGCGGTAGAGACTCGTTTATCTACGTGCTGTTTTCCATCAGTTAACCTTGGTTAGAGTGGACGTTCTCGCTCTATTTTGCTAATAAAATCTCATTTCGGAACGTTGACTTATCTCTGCTTTCCTTATGAGAATAATATGTTCAAGTCTCTGATATTTGCTCGGGGTTGGTAAGTTTATTCGCTACTCAAATGCAATACGAGTTACTCATTTCAATTCGATGACAGGCATCTAGCCTCTGCATGATATATTGGTCTACGTAAATAGCCTAAACATGTGCATGCGTCTAGATGGTGCTCTTTTCATGTGATTCAATGTTTGTGGAAATTGGCCATGCTGTCCAGCACGTTCTGTGAAAAGCCCCATCTACATACGGTTACATCTTGTAACAATAGTGTGCCGTGGTGCTTAGTCGCTGGATTTGGGCTTTAACATCAGTTTTTCTTAAAATCACCAACTTGGAACTTGTAGAGGTTCCGGATCCGTATCAAATGGATAATTTCAGTTTATCATGACCGCTCCATCAATAGATAAAACCTGCTGTTTAGGAGGGGAAAAATAAAGTCGCAGCTTTTCGTTTTATTTGCTACAAGGTACAGTTTGATATTGCCTTCGAAATGTAAAAGATATTAATTTTAACTCCTGTGAGCTGATGATTTAGGCGGATTACTTTTCTGTATCAACCGAGACGTTTTTAGACTACATTCTAGGTAACCAGGGTGTCAAAGTTATGTGACGCTGAGATGTACCTAAAACTGTAGGTACCATAAGAGATAAACTACAGTGTAACATGGCACAAGAGGTCTGGCAACATTGATTCTGAGGTAAGGATACAAAAATTATAATGATTTTAATTTAAGCGGCTGCACTTGCCCAAATATAGTTTAATAAATAGTGGAAAGGTGGAACAGTATTGCAATTGCTTATTTATTTAATGCAAACATAACAACTCAAGGAGTACAGAAACGTTGCCGATACATTTGTATCATCCATATGACTTGAGTCAGCTATGAGCCATTGTAGACAAAGATAAGCTGAAAGGCTTTTGTAATCAGATGCAATAATATCAATCTCAATTAATGTATTGTGTGAATTATTTTATTTTGTAACACGTGGTTTCCTCAGAAAAATCGGGAGGAATTGGTGTAACCGAAAAAATATAATGAAACGGATCCATTTTTCAAACAAAACTGGGTTGCTGTATCTCGGAAGCGCAACGTAATGAAGATAATCTTTGGGCAACAGAAAGGCAATTCCAAAACCTTAGGGAACGGAAGAAAGGAGAGGGCGTTTGTACATGTGAAAAAAGCTTTATTTATGGCATGCATTCAGACATCCTTCTATATGAATAGTCTAGAAATTCTAACAGATTAGGCTCAGCCTGCTGAATAACACCGCTGGTGATGACTTGCCGATGACTGTTTGTTGGTTTCAGTTGTACAACTTTATTTCGTATGCTATGTCCTCAAGCTATGGGGGTACAGACTTCCACTATGCCTTGGGTGTTTTTCAGTATAATTTTTAAGTTAACTTAAGTACTTCTAACTATTCCTTTATACACTAGGCTCCCAGTAGCTAAACATTACTGTTGTACCGTGATGCACGTAAGTGCATAGATATCAAAAGCATGCTGCTCTCAACAAATCGGTATTTTATTGTTAATTTCATCGGTGTTAAAGGAAATCGTTAAAATGCTGTGTCGGTGCAATGGTGTTCCTATTTACCAAGTTAGATAAGTGGAATGAAACTACAGTACATTAATACAAAACTTTGCACATTATGTTATACGAAGTGTCATACAAAACTGTAGGGAGCAGCACATAGTGAATTGGTATGAAGAAAATGCCAACGGATGTAGTAGGTTTTATCAAAGAGAAAGAAAATGTGTGAGCCATTCTCTTCTTCGAACTGATCCGAATCACTACTGTCCTGAAAGAGTTGCCTGTTGTTTTTAAAGGGCACTATAACGCATATTGTTCTTTAACAGACGTCTGCTCCATTGTAATGATTATCTTTAGGGGCGCATTCCAAACATTTCATTGCGTACCACATGAAACCAACTCTTTTTTGGTGAACGTGACAAGCGGCAGGGAAAAGCAAATGAAAATGGTTAAGAAGTGTATTATTGAAATGCTATACGGATTTGACTACTATGTAGTGGAAATGGTAAATTTGAGTAGCCCAGGACTGTCACCCGAAAGGTAGGAACCTTTATGGCAGCGGAGGATAGGTCGCCCTATATCCCAGTTAGCTTGTAAGTCATGACGAAGTACTTTTTCCTTGGCTGAATGACATAAGCTGTTGCTTATCTGGTGTAAGATGCTATCGGTAATGGGTTCCATTCCCTACAGTGAACCGACAGAATGCTTAGCACTGACGAACTGCAACAGGGAGAAAGTACCTCTGGTGCTTTTCCGGACTAGGGTTGGACTATCTGCCTTGGGCGGCACTAGGAAAAAGCAGTTCAACTTGTGTTTAGTTAGACTTGCGTTTAATTCCTGTGCTGTAACTGTCATGCCACTTCTATGTTATTTTGTTCGTTATTATTTCAGATTTTAATCAGAGGCTTTTCTGAACATGGTTTGTAGCTAGGGAAGATAAACGTTTGAAACTTGTCGGAGTTGTTTCATAGTTATCCTAAAAGGAATTTGGCCCCCTTTAGTATTTGGATAAACACACAGAGGTCGAACGCTGGTAGATGCGCGTGTTTCATAATATTCTCACATTAGTTGTACGACATGTTTATCTGCATACCGTTCAATGTGTGTTACCAAGTCAACTAAATGTAGTGAGGTGGACGGCTGTGATTGCCTTAGGATCAGGGCAACCGTAGGTTGACAGCTTATTGTTTCGGCACAAACAGGGAAGGTCTTAGCTGGTCTAGCGCCACGGCCTCGGCGAACCGCACCATGCATGGATTAGGATGACATAATTAATTGCTGTATGTTGACGGCTACATCCATGCCGTTGCATGGGCGTGATAAATAGACCACCGATACACTTAAAAATCTAGTCGTACTATCAGACAGTATACTCTGCACAATTCCTAACTGACATGGCAGTGGAAGATGAGCCGGGCCATATCATAATTAACTGTCAATCACGCAGGTCCTCGGCTGTCACCCATTGCGAAGTGACCCTAGCTGCTGGCATCCTGAAGTCCTGGGGGCGGAACCCGGCAGGGGTCCACTGGGAGGCGCACCACTGACGAGACCCAGAATGTCGAAACGACGGCGTTTGATGCTTTTGCAGACTAACCTAAGCCTGCTGATTGGGAGTGACAATGATGAATTAGCTGAATTATGCGTAAAGCTGCTGACCGGCGGTTCAAGCCGCTGGTGGTCGTGGGTTCGAATCCCGAGGGCTTCAATGGATGCGCACTACTGACGACGCTCAACAGGCTGAAACTGCAGTCTAGTGCTTTTCTGGGCATGTGGACGACTATCTGATTTCTAAAATGGCTGTGAAGAAGACTTATACTGAAAGTTGCCAACCCAACTGTTACCATCGCAGTGTGCTGTATACTCAGCGATTCAACAAGGGAGGCACGGTAAATTTGAATGTCTTGAGAGAATTGGATAAAGCGGCAGGTATGCACGCTGAACAGCTTGTTGTGGAGGATGAATTCTACAAGGCTAAGGGTGCAACCAAGAAGTTATCAAAGCAACCAAGAAAACAGTGCGAAACTACTGAAGCAATCTACTATGAAAGACCCGTTTGACGTTAAGGATATGAGGATGATGAAATGATGCAATGCCCTCTAGTAATGTAACGCTTTTCAGAAATCGTTGGAAGCTAAACCGTAATGCTCTTCCCACATAACTGTAGAATTAAGGGCATCGACAAAGCAACTTACACATTTTATGTAATATGCTTTACTTCCGTTTACTTTACAGGCTGTTTACACATAAAAGAACAATTTTTGCAGCAGCTACGATTTTCCCCAAAATAAATAACAACTAAAATGAAGAGAAAGTATTGCTACTTGGTAGACAGGTTTAAATCTCGTGATAAATGCCATAAGATTAGCTAAATTACTGTATCTCATGTATTTTGGCCCAAATTAGTTGGTTTAAACCTGATGAATAAAGTTTTATGAGTAAAGAACTTTGAATTTATCGATTAATAGTCGAATACAGTTACAGCATATTTTCTTGGGCAAACTACTCGATCCCAAACACTTTTGTATAGTTTAAACTATGAATGCTTTGTCACTTACAGATGTATGACTGTGGCATCAGCTGTTAGACAGGTTAAAAGTAAGGCGCTTAGTCCTACCTACCTGTTGATATCAAGGTAATTCTTAGTGCAAATTTTACCTTGGCGGTACTTGAAGTGAGCGAATGGGCAAGTACTATGCTCAGATAGTTGTGAAAGTTTCTGAACTATAAAAAGCCACCAACCATTCAGGCCGCGTGCACCTCGACTGGTCACCTGTTTAAGACTTTCGAACATCGGAATTGGTAGTAAACATACGAAACGGTCTACAAATGAAGAACAAAGAGTGGGTAATCTGGAAACAGGATTAACCGCTTCACGTGACATTCAGTATAATGCCTTGTTCCGGTCTCTATTAGGACCATACGAAATACTAATGTTGATGCATAGAAAAGGCATGTAAAATTGATAGTATGTGTGAAGCATATTTCAGTAGTGTGTACATTATCAATAGTTCGCCTTACCTTTATCAATTTATATTTTCCCTGAATGTTACATGAAAGGCGACCAGATTCGATTTGTCAAGGGCTCGAAAGGGGCGACGAAAATGTAGATTTACAACTATTGAAAGAGAAAATGTTGGAGGCATAAGGCGTGCTATATGTCGTAGAAAATTTTGCTTTTACTAACTTAATGAAGTATGAATGATACTGAATAACAGTAATAATAGCAGCTAGGTGTAACAGTTGTCGATATCAGTAATGATCCTATTACTAAAATGTTTGGGGCGTAGTGCATTGTTACTCCCACTGTGTTACACAACCTTCCTGATGCAACCTAAGGCTACATCCTATATGTACTTTCACAGTCTGCTTGCTATCAGAATCTTAGCAGAAAAAAAGAGTAGAAAATAATTCGAATTAATACAGCCAAATAGTATGGTTTTTGAGTTTTGCAAACGCTAGTTTGAATTTGTTGTTACTGGGTTCGAATATCAAGTAACTAATAAATGAAGCAGCGAAACAACACGGGCTTTACTGATCTCTGTTAAGGGTCATAACATCCATCGTTTTCAACCAACGGGAAGCAGTGACACGTGTTCCAAAGCTTCGAAATCGAACCATCCAACTGCGGTTACATCTGCGTTTGCCTACTTCCTACTTCGCGTCAATGAATGTCCATCACGACACGTATTCCAGTGGCTTCCTGAAAGCGCAACTAATGCTCGATGGTGAAGACAAAAGGCTATCATGTACAATACGTATTCGAGTCAACGAATACGGTGTCAGAGAATAACGTTGTAGGCAGGAGCTATTTGTATCCAACACTCGTACTCGGACTTTGTGTTTGTACGTGGTGTTTTCGCCACGCAGGACTGCTCCTTCGCAGACAACATTGTCACAATCTGACGATTGTTTCGCACATTCTGGGCGCATAGGCTTAGGCTCCCAAGCATACAAGATGACCGCAGGGACGGAAGTAATTTATAACTTTCTCTGGGGTTGAGACTAACCTCACGATGAAGTCATTAATGTCTCAAGCTGCAAAGTTTTAGCCTGCTTTTCTATCTTCTAAACTTGTACAAAAGAAACCTCCGCGTTAAATGCTTGTTAGTATTTTAAATTGTTGATGACCTCCACCAAATACCGAAACGTCGTATACCTTTTTCGGTGTAAGTGCCGAACGGTGTCAAACGCAGGCAATATATACACCTTTTCTGCCTAGCTTAAATATATAGCGAGTGATGGAAATCAATCCGAAATTAAAAAGGTACGGTAACAGACATGTCCAGTTTACCGGTTACTGTTTTCCGTACATCGTCACTTAAGATAAAAAGACATAAAACGTTTTCACTTTTCTCCCGTCCAACTTGAATAGCACAATGAGTACCGCAGAATAATTCTCTCGTTACTAAGCCCCATAGTACCCTGAGGAGTTGCGCAGCTGCTGGATATTCGGATAAACCGCCAAAATATACCGGAGGTGATAGTGCAATATCGTGTTATATTTGGAAAAATCCCCTGTCTAAAGCACAAATATTTCATGGCGCACATCCGTCACTGTGAGGGTGTCTGAAATTTATTTTTGGTGCTCGTAACGCGCCGTATTGCAAATAGTTTCAACGTTTTGCACACTCCAGCCAGAATTTGCAAGACTACTGTTAGTCTACGGTACTAGTGTTGCCCGATAAATCCCATAAACATAGTTTCATCGGACAACGTAATCAACGCCGAGGCAGTTTTTCTTATGGTTTTGAAATACGCATGTAACTGCATTAATAAACACAATCCCAACACTGATAGTGATTCACTTTGATAACGGTCTCCATAAACCCGTTCACTGAAGTTGCACTCAAGGCACATAACATCTTTAGGACTTTTACATCGCTCAAGGTGCTGCTCCCTAGTTCATTAAATTTTACGAGATGCCAAAAACATTCTATAGGTCTCAAACAACTGCATATCATACGTATGCTTGCTAATTAATATAGAAGAAATTTTGTTTTAATGATTGCACCAAGAGCAACCATTACCAGATTTGAAGCAGTGTATTAGTTGTTCCTTTCAAACCATGACTGTTTTTCAACAACATCTCAACGGATATCCCAACCTTAAATACGGAAGATTGTTTTCAGGCAAAATATTTGTTAATATTTGGATGTTTGTGAGAAATGTAAAGTTTGTAGAAAGTAAAAGTCACGATTAAAATTCACGCACAATAATGTGCCTCGACGGGGAATCAAACCCCGGTTCACGAATTTCCGGTCCGCTGCTCTATCCATGCGCTACCGACGGCTAACGATTAAGTGCGCAAATTTTAACACATGAATTCTACTTTCTACAAACTTTACACTTCTCACAAACATTCAAAAATTAATCTACCATCGCCAATTGGACATCCGAAGAACAGGTACTTCGCTCCTTTGGTAAGTGACGGGTGAGTGATCCAATCTGCAACACCAGGACAGTACTGTGAGCCTATTGGCAATACGTCGCGCACCAAGCAGAAGTCATGTGTTAAAATTTGCGCACTTAATCGTCAGCCGTCGGCAGCTCAGTAGTAGAGCAGCGGACCGGAAATTCGTGGACCGGGATTCTATTCCCCGTCGAGCACAATATTGTGTGTGAATTTTAATCGTGACTTCTGCTTTCTACAAAATATATGTTATCATAAGTAACAATCTACGGAAGCGATTCAATTCTTCCGTTCTAAATGTTTATGTTACTTATGTTTTTAAGCGACTGTCTGGGATCTAATTCCTCGTGCGGAAATGCAATATCAGTCAAACGTTTTCTCATCGTTAAATTATTTTCTGATCAACAGCACTTATACTAATACATTGCCGGATCAAGAGATTTATCATGTTGCTGGATTAACCGGTAGACAGAAGGCTTGTATCCCACTTAAGGGATTTTAACTAAGAATGCAACTATATTAATTAGTACCTCAATCGCCTTAGCAAGAAAAAAAACGGACAGTTCCCTTCATAGCATAACAACAGTTAAATAAGTATTAAGCCCGCAATTTCTTTGGATTATTGTTGCATAATAGTGGACAAAACTTGTCTGAAGCAAACAAAACTATGGGTTTGGTGATTCATTTTAAGGTAGCCGTTGTGCTATATATAAGCTATTTAAATCCGTCAGCTAAATACTCACCAAAGCATAAGTGCTTTTATATTACTGCGGTTGGTATACCATCCGGAGCTTGAAAGTGCTATGAACACACACGTTTTCTCATTAATTTCTATCATTAAGCCTGAGTTACAATAGCAATTGATTTTGTCTTCATGATGCTTATGGATGTTGATAGTTAGGGCTACTTAAATTCAAATTCGAGCCATGCCCAGCAATTTACCAGAAATAATTATGCGATTTTATTTTGCCACACGTTGCCTTCAGCATTATGAATTGATAGACTTTTATTGCATGCCGCTTGCAGATGTCGTCTGTTCAAACCTGAACTCTTGTTGATGGACCACGATACTTACTACGGTATTTCGTTGTCATCCACTTTAGTTGGATCAAGGCAAATTCGCTCTCCGGTGTCACCGTCGCACATCCAAACTCCATCCTCCGGTCGACAATATACATCGCATTGTTGTCCATAGTAATTTTCCGAGCACAGGGAAGCAAGCAGGATTTTAACACTAAAATAAAATTGTTCCAGATGAGTATGAGCACGGACTGATGCACAAATTTAGTAGGTAGTGATACACCATGACGTTATTGGCAGTTACTTTTTGATTAGGAAGAGCGTCTACAGTAAACAACGAGTTCAGCGACGTGTAAGCAAACGAATTCAGCAGACCCATCTATGTTTCATATATAGATAAATCTATAAATAAAACTGAATTTTTTCGTAAATTATCCCACTGCTAAATGTAACGGAAATGTCAACGCCTCTGGGTTGCTGATGTAAACTTCACGTAGATTGATTCGCGCATCGACACATACTAAATTGAAAGAGAACATGTGGCTTTAAATGTTCAGTTACGCCAATGCATGTAGATGACAATTTTTTTATACTTTGGTATGGGCCACTTCAGCTTGGTGTCAGCATTGACAAATTATACTAGTTCAACTATTAGTCATTGATAAACTTTTTTAGACTGGCAACTATAAATGTGCATTTGTGTGGCAAAAAATACATCTTATTTCTTTGTAGCTAGCTTGAAGTGTTGACGCAATCATGCAATCTAAGCAACCGTTTATCCGCCTTTGACTTACCGCACCTTGTCACCCATCTCTAGTTGATATACTCCGACAGCAGAGAATAAAAGCTTCGCAGAAAATCTCGCTATAACATCGTTACTGATTAGATCATAATCCTCTATATTCAGCTCAAAATCCATTATAAACTGAAAGGGAACGGAAATGGAGGAATGGACAGTTACACACCATATTTACATGCATGCGTAGTCAGAGCTATTTATGTTGCGCTAGACTGGTCAGCAGACCTAGTCAAATGATACTCATTAACTGATGCAACCAAACTGTTGTGCCTAAACTTGGCGTCGAAGAATTCTTAATGTTTTGCGGTCAATCAGGAAACATAAGCTTTACACTGGTGAACCCAGAAAAGCTTGGATGAGGTAACCCATGCAAAATAAGGCCTTTGACTCGTTTACCTTGTAAAAATATCATGCCAATTCTGTACTTACTACACAGAGACAGTGAAGCCGTCATCTTATTTAATTTTCGCATAAAGCCACTTAGGCAAACCTTTAAATTTCATTTTTAAACGGTTGTGCGAAGCGTGTTTCCGTCGTGAGGACAGCGACAGTCATTTATGTTTGATTATGTCAGCTATCGTTTTATTCAGGATTAGGTTTTGCATTAACGCAAATTGGCTATGTTGTCAATTACTCAGATAAACAAGAAAGAGGAAAGTGAAGTACTAATATTTAGTCTAATTTTGTAAGTACTTAAGAAGCCATAGGCTGTTGTTTCGCGGAAAAACTAATTTGGAAAGGACAGGTGTTACGTATTGTTGCAGCAAATAAGGGCAGCTTCAGACTTTGTAGACTATACTGGCCAGTGTTTAAAAACAGAAACAAGAAAGATGGAACAAAGTAGAGTGAATTCGATAAAAGAGGTCGCATCGTATGGCACAGTTGTATGCATTAAAATTGCTGAAACAAAATACCTGAGACCATGTGTTTTATCCTGTACATGCCGTTATCAGACGAATGACATCAATGCACAGTGTCCCAAGTATCATAGAAAAGAATTGCGGCTTAAAAGCACGCCTAGAATTGTGATGTAAGCTTGTGGTATACCGCTATCCCTTGTATGTACTGTTTATTTGGAACAGCTCACTGCTTTGTATGCCTCTAACTCACCCGAGATATCTTCTTAGTCCGCATTCGCCCTGTCAACGTGCCTACGCATTGTTGCAAAAGCAACTTTAGTACATTGCCTTTGGAATCTCTTGAATTGTTTCTCAATCGCAAAATTTCGTGAAGACTCAGCAGTGGATTTAATTTTGAGCTAAATATTATTTTTCATATAAAGGAAAATCGCTTTTTCGATCCACAGAGAAAGCGACGGACAGCTTGCAGTTGAGAAGTATGTCGGGAGCGTTCGGAGTTATGCCGAGGTAGCAGACTTGATTAGGCCTTACTTTTCATTGATTGCCGAATTATCAATCCCTCTAGCAGCTGAACACCACCAGTGACAATTGGTGGAATGTACTGACAACTGTTTTCTCTGAGCATTAAATGGTGGTATTGTGCCTTCTTAAGATGTCATTTAATTAAACTGCCCTGTTCTGTGTTCCGTGTCCGATACGAATGTGTACATAAACGTTATACATTTGCTAACAATCTAGACAGCAGAATACAACCTAGCTCATCGATTCTGCCACATCAAGATTGACGCACGTAAGATGAGTTCAATGTTGGCACGTGCATTCATTCGTAGTTCAGCATTTTTACTTTGTTTCCTAAACGCTGGCTTTGGATGCCTAATGTAACCCTTGTTTAATTCATGACGCCGTTGTGTGTTTGCTAAGTTAGTTACCGAATCATATGACACCTAATCCTCAAAAATTAAATAGGCATCCCTCTTATAACAAAAAACGGAGAACAGTAATCTATTACAATTAGAGAAAAATGTAAGATAATAGCCGTAATTGTCAAGACCGGTATAACATCAGTGGAAGCGTAATTCATTTGATTTCATTTGTCCGTTGTCTGTTGCACGTGTGACAGTTTGCAACATAAATGTAGATAGTAGAAATTACAGCGTAAACACACTGCTTCACCATGCAGACTGTGTTCATTTGTCTAGCGATAAAACTTGCTGCACGGGGCCGTCATGGTAATAATTTGCGACTTGAACTAACCATGTGATCCGTATATTGTAATGCACCACAAATCATACTACCAGTTTTTTACTAACGCTCATCTAACTGTTGCACAAAATCACAAATGCTCTACGTAATGAATCGCACGAAGTACCAAAGAATCGCTTTAATTATTGACACATCGAGGTCTAAGTTTAGCCATTTTGCATGTTATTTATTCAAGACTTCATTGAGAACGATTTGGATCAGTTATATTAGCAACGTAATGTTGGTATCCAGGATAGCATTCTCCTAAGTGGTGCAGAGGTTAAAACATAGGTTTAACAGCAACTAAAGAATGATACAATAATTCATAAAGTTTTACACTTTTTACGTATTCGATGGTGCAAAATATCTACTAGCATTTTACGTATACCAATTATCTCATGTATGAACAAAATCACTAACGCCAATAGCGAAAATGACTTGTGTTTATCCCTAATGTCAAACCTAAATACTGAGGCCCGTCATATATACATTAACGAGTACACTCGGTGCAAAAAGGCTACTTACTGCGAACTGTTTACCGACCACCGTGCATACACGGTCCCGATGTAGCGAGTAAAAGAAAATATTCTGTCTCATTACGGAGCAAATTCCAATCCGAAACTACCGACCTTAATATAAATCATCTAAGGACATTAAAAATTTGTGTTACAGGGTCAGTTTGTTTAACTATTACTGTAAGAATATTCGTGACATCTGCCTCTGAGAAGATCTCATCTCAACTCTCTGTATACCCACGGAACCAATCAAGATATCATTCCTTTACTCAATCCTCGTGAATGCAGTTTCCATGCGGTTCAGTCGTTCTATTGAACAGTGAGGTATTTATATATCTCCATCCAAATTCTCTCAAGTAACTCCATAGTGTTAATCTTCCCTGCATAAAAAGCTGGCACTACCTCTACATGAATATCATTACATTCATATGTATTCCGTCCTGCACCGATTGCGATTAGTTGTGTACCCCTACTTCTGCACTAATGCATGTGAGACCAATTTGCTGATTGCTGTAAATAAACACACAACATTCGACTTCAATGCTCACCCATTGGAGCCGCTTGGAATTGGAAGCGTTTTGTTGTGGTATGTTTAACTAGTACCGGCTTATTTGATGGTAGATTGTACTGCCAGTCACTTTCCGGCATGTTGCTTTGATCTGGGTGGAAACGCGCGAATTGTTCCATATAAATACATATGGTCGAGTATATATAATCACTTCACTTTTGGCTACCTTAATTTTGGAATCATAAAATACAGTTTCAAGGAGTAATGCACCCCTGGACATAGTGGAACTAAACTTTCCAACTTGCACGGAGAACGGACCAAACACTAAACCGATCGCAAGTCGTTCTAGTGTGGCAGTGAATTTAACTACAGAAGACATAGATGGAAATGTTCTTTGCATTTTCATTGGCACATCATACTTACTGGTTTACCAGATTCTGAATAATCCAAACCATATTTGTCACCCGCTGTTAGAATCGAACGACAACACGACCCTATGAGGTCATGCTCTGAAATCGATAACGCAGTATAGCCGGCTGGAATGCCGTTGAAATTTATTTTCTCTCCGAGTGTGTCAGCCGTGGAACGCTATCCCACATTTTGTCGTTTGCGGTATTTAAAATATGAGCTTTCATTTTATAACTTTTTATCCAGGGGGGGGGGGAAACGCAATCAGACGGTGTGTTTCCGAAATCCCAAACATCTCCTATGTTCTACATAAATCTACGGTGAGTTTACCATAAGTTTTTCATTGTTTCATGAATTTTATTTTCGCAATAATTTTCATCCTAAGAGTATTGTTAAGCCATGCTATTTTACTCGTGATACACAATCGTTCCATCTAAAATTGACATATCTTAGACATTTCGATCATTAAAGTCGCTTCTCTAAAGTTAACCGGCGATAGTAATTGGTCGTTGTCAGCTCCGTAAGTACTAGCAGGATTTACTCTCATTGTTGATTTCTAGACAAGAGGTTGGGCATGGACTCGGACCCGAACCATAGTAATTGCTAACAATATATATTCCTGCTGGTTACGGCGCTATATACGACAAAGCTATTTTACATGTCTAAAGTAATTTTTTGGTCGAAAAGCAAATAAATTCGTAAAAGGATAATGGATAAAGCAAACACTTTGATAAGCTGGTAAAATTATTTACCCAAACATACCTTTAATTCTTCGAACATGGAAAATGACATCCAACTCGGTAAACGTATATAAATAATGCATGTATATGGTTCAGCTTCACACAATATAACGTTGTAGTTAAAGTGAGTATATTAAACTAAATTTCAAAACTTCAGAAAAAAAGTAAGAAAAGGGATGAACTTGGTTAACATCTTACAAAAAGATTTCTTTGGATCGAAAGGAACAGCATTGAATAAGGCAGGTGGTCCTTCCCTTTGCTAATTCCACCAAAAACATTGCGAGTTTAGAATCCACTAATGATTGTCTGTTTGATTTTCTGTTTGCTTGCGACGAACTAGCTTTAGAATAATTTCGAATGCATGGAGGACATACAACATAAACTGCTGATGAGTGTGGATTGATCACTGAATACTAGATGAAAGTAGCAAGAAGAGACGTCTTTGTGTAAGAAGATTTAAAATACCAAATGATTTATGGTGCTGGAGAGCGTTCTCAATATTTTAGATCGGCAAATTATTTGTCCAAAAAATATTTTGGATTGCGACACCGAATTTCTTTTGCTGTTGCGGTGTAGGGTTATTCCACATATTCACGAATTTCCGTTCGACGCATACTTGGTCAGCGACCCGCTTAAGATACAATACTACAAGCTTGTACCGGTGCCGTTTGTTTGGTAATTGGTGTGCGGATATGGAGTAGCGGCCTCCACATAGGGTAGTCACCTGAATGTAAATCCGTTGCTTTATGATGAATGCAGCCCGCGCTTAACGATAAGACAGGGTGTAAGGCCAACTTACGCTGGTCTTCCCAGTGCACACTCAGCATAGTGAGTATGAGCCTGGTGGCCACTACACACTCCATATTTTATACTTCGCCTTAGTTGATAGGAAGGTATCCAGGTGAGCCGCACGCTATCACTGTTATTATGGCTGTAACGCAGGGACGAGTAGAAAGCTCCTTGGACCAATTGCCAAAGCTGCGTTAGCGCGTAAATATATAAAATCCGTTTTGGCAATGCTTATTTGTATTGTCCACGGACCGAGGTCGCGACAAGAGAGTACACCGAAGTGTTTCACAAGTGGCTTGAGGTGCAACGTTTGACCTTTCACAGTTTAGGCTTGATGGTGTCTAACTACCCAGACAAATGAATAGCGACTTGACCGGATTGGTCGGAAGAGTGACCTCCGCACATCAAAAGGGGAGTCGGTCAAGTTCACGCTGAAGCGGGTCACAGTCATCGAATACACTGATTATAGTATTGGTTCTCAATCTGGGGCTACTAACCACATGAGAGTAAAATGGTATTTTACTGGGGGAGTAAGTACGAGTATTTGATCATCAAGGTTGACAAACAAAATTAATAACACAATCCTCTGTATTACAACGTGAAATAAAATACCTACTCAATATAGAGTAACTATCAGTGATTAATCAGTAGCGAGTGCTCATTAAATTTGACAACTTTCGGTAATAATTTTATTACCTAAAACAGGAACACAGGCTTGCAAAGCAAAGCATCTACATTGCGCCACTACCAGCTGGCTCGTCAACCGTCTTTCACTTGAGTCTGGCAGTTCTTTGTTCGGTCGAACCACATAGTTGAGCGAATAATAAGATGGGAGCATAGGTCAGTCTTCCAGGTAAAGAAGTAAACGAAGTTTACAAACTAGGAGGGATAAAACAAGAGCTTGGTGTTCAGGAAGTATTGATAGAGAATGGTGGTGGAAACCTCTCATCTAGAACGGATGTGAAAGGGATATTTGAGCCAAATAAGAAATCGCTGAGATCTATTCATGTTTGAATACCATGTCAACGTTTTGCATTCTGTTCATATGTGCCTCTCCTTTCTCTTCGCACCAAACGAACATCCCGCTTGTTTGCTCAAGATCTCTTTGTGAAAGCTTCTTGTATGTATTCACAACGCGCTCGATCAAAGCTGGTGGCATGACCCTGTGTTCACTGTCATGTCTGCGTTTATCCGAAGCTGTGCTAACTTGGCTTTACCTTCGTATTCCATTGTTTGGGATTTGGAGCCAGTTCGTGAAGAAGTCCGTGCTTCCAATCCCCTTAGCATCCAATGCTGGTGCGCACCTAGACAAGCGGTTAGCCGATCTAGGTGTTGCAATGCACCAACCCAAGCTACGTCCAGGTTAAACAACCATGACGCCATTGTAACCGAATGCTATTGGTTGATGGCATTGGTTTAAAGTATCTTAGCTTTTGTACTGCGACATATTATCCTAGGTGTGTTTCTCACCCTTAGCTAACGTGCATTGATGATTGCTTGATTTCGGTTGACTGCTCAGTGTCGTGGATGAAATTTTCGTGACTATCGGATTACATTTTTGACCCTAAGTATCCAAGCTGCTTCACAACGGATGAAAGCGATTGTGTTAGGAATGCAATCAATTCAGCAATATTCTAGACACCGAGTCATCTGCAAAAGGAGCAGAAGAAAAACGGAGCAGCTCGTTTATATAGATCAGGAGCAGTATAGGCCTCAGTATCGTATCCTGGGACAAGTCACCGTCAGTCAGATAATTATCGATCTGGGGCCTCTAATTCCCACCAGCTAGCAAATCCCTGATTCATTAAAGTGACCAGTCGCCAACATCGCACACTCTCAGCCTGTGGAGGAGGACCTCATGGCTCACCCTGTAAAACGCTTCACTCTAGTCATTGTAAATTACGCAAACCGACTTCCTTTGATTCAGCGCTTGCAACCAGTCGCGCCGCGTCATGAGCAACTTGATGATGCATCAGCGATCTTTCACAAAAACATGCTATGCGGCCGTCAAGGTACTTCATGACCGGTACAGCTGTAGAATACCTTCCTTTATAATCTTCTCAAGTGTTTTAGCAAAACAACTCGGCTGGTAGCTATCCAGTTTGCTTGAGTCACTGCCTTCAGGTACTGCCATTAAGGTTGAGCATTTTCAGTAACTTAGTACTGAATCAGTGGACAACTATCTGTTGAACATCTCAGTCATGGCAGACGAACAGATGGCCAGTGCGTGGATTCCTTAGGTCCTGCAGGCTTCTTCTCATCTAGACTGGCCAGCAGCTTGTGTACATCATAACTGCCGCGATCCAGGCTACCTAGTTTGGTAGGGGCGGTGTCCTTCGAAATTGGCACAAACGCCTGGTCAGTTGCAAAAACGAAAGCGAGGTGCGTCGCCAACGGGTACGCACGACCATGCTCGAGGTTAGGGGCTGTCCGTTGGAGTCCTCCAACACCGAAACATTACCGTGAGGACTGCTGGCCAGAATAGACCACTTGAGGGAATGCACATAAATACATTTCTGCTGTACAAGATACAAATCGGCCCCTAAAGTAGTGCATTGCAACCATAATTCAAACTTACAGGATAACTTTTCTGCATTCCGGTTACCTGCATAACGTTGACAATGTCCAGGTGATTATAAAAGGGACCCGCCTTTTCACGAATTGCCAAGCTCTTCCTTCCACTGAAAATTAAAATCAATCTAATAAAATGCATACGGCGTCAGAAGGTAAAGTAAAACGGTAAATATTCAATTCAAGAAAAGCTCTCAGGGATGGATTATTCTCGTTCATGTGATTTCCCAACATCTATTGACCGGAATCAACGTTGTTTTCTGCCAAATCTAAATATCAACCACAGGAAACAGCATAATATAGCAAACACATGTAGGATATCATTAGGATGTGTGTTTAATAATGTCATTTTACTAGAATTTACATCATTGAACCGGTATTGTTATACCGAAATACATCCACATCAATATTTCGGCCAATGAATTCGCATCCCAATTTGGCCAAACAACCAGCACTTTATCAGAGTAATGAAAGAATAGTCGACACTCGTCGATATCTGGTGTTAAAAAAGTGCTACGTTAGCGTAGTTTTCAAACAAAATTCCAAAATAAATGTTCTATCTGAAGGTACAACCAACTTTAATTCATATATGGGGTGAAAATCGTAGGTAATTGGAAGGCGCGCTAAATACATACCACAGAGCGCTTCAGTTCTCTGGAAATTAATGGTCTACCACTCCATAAAACTAGTAGCTAGTACCCATTGACCGGTTTTCTAATTTTGCAAAATAATAATGATTCTCAGACAAATGGCCCATGTATTAACATAGACAAATTAACCTCAGCTATGCGACCATCCGTGCAAAGTGCTACGATATTAGAGAACAAGTAGCTGTAGAATGAGTCAGAGTTACACTTTCGCCTTCAAAGTTGTGTATGCACGTAAGTAAATTATATAAAACGGATCTGTACCAACACGTCATTGTAAAGCCTTGCTGAAAAGCAAAACGAACTATATGCCTGATTAAGAAAAATATAGGAATGCTGAGCGCTTAATTAACACAACTTATGGAGTATACCATCTAGTTTTAGGGACTTTGCAGGGGCACGAGCATTACCGTTCGTGACAACAAGCAGGAGGTAGTGAGAATATTACCGTCTTATTTTTCGCTGTTTCTTATGTAAGACTGAGAACCTCCATACCTTACTTTTAAAGCTGTCTCTGTCCGCGCGGTAGTCTTAGATAGTGAATTAAGCCGACGGGCAACTCGTTATGTCTTCCATCATCATTGCAGCCTAAATGAAACGACCTTCGGCCACTAAATAAAATAAAGCACGCAGTTTAACTGACAAGACCTAGTTCTAAATGTGCTTATTTGGAATGCTAAAGCTTGAGATTAGTTTATGTAATTTAACTATCTTTGCTACCAGGTTTGTTGGACTCTTGCTGCAATATTTTTACGTCTATTGTACGAATTCATGAATTTATTGACTGATAAAAGATCTGTAGGCCTACTTTCCTTTCCAATACAAGACATGGCAACAATTTTAATTGCATTCATACAAACTTCTTACAGAGACTATAACAAAGGTTACTAAGATTTCGTGACTGTTATCCGTAAAACGGGTTCAATAAAAACATTTACCAGAAAAACATGTGTTTGAAAAACAACTTAACTATTAGTGAGCTCGGTTGTATTTTACAGTATGGAAAATCTTTTTTCCATAAATTCCAATCCCTCAGCAGAAAAGGCACCCATTCCTGAGTGAAATTTTTTATCAAATCAAGGGTAATGTAAGGTAAGCAGTTGGTTGATAACGCTTAGTTGCCATGACTTTTGTAACCTTTAGTGCAGTTCCGAGTAATGCACATCCCATGTCCTGCTCCAAGTTTCTTGCTTTCGTTTTCATTGTACTATTGTAGCAACTCCATTTGCACGTCTGTAACTTGTGGTGTAAGCGAGCATTATAATATCAACTTTTGTGATAGTACCGGGTACTCGCTACTACATCCGACAATTTCCCCATTCCCATTTAAACAACAAAACTAACACTATAGTTGTAAATGTGGCTTCAAAACGTACTTCAGTGATCCTAGATTGTAATAACTTTCCTTGAAATCCCGGTGTGAATATCCTGAAAAAATGGAGCGCTTCTTTTACTAATTAACAGGACTGCTCCTTACTTGTAAGGTACTTCTCGGTGCAGATGTCACTGCTTCAAGTACAAGCGTTTATTCAGCATGAATAATTCAGCAAAAATTAAAGCAGGTTTGGAAAGTCAACTTCATTGACATAAGATACACGTTCGCGTCCATAGTTAATGATGAGGTTCCTCCTTTGGCATTGTTAAACAAAGGATGATTAGCTCACATGAACGTTGACCAGTGCAACTCAAGCAATCAAATCCGTTATGCCAGGCTCCCATTGCCTATATGGTTTCTCGGTTGGCCCATTCGTTTGCCTCTGTATGACAATCCCATCACAATTCTGTAGGACTTCAATATGCCTGGTGTAGAATGGACATGGTAAGCTGCTTCGGCTAAATATTTCGGCCAGTTATCTTCCTTATACTTGGAGGAACACATGTCTATTCCCTCACCAGGTGCCACCACATCCTTGATTTGTTCTTTCCACTAGACGTACTAATAGGCACTACCATTATCATAGACGAATTCTGTGCCAACTTTCATAAGATAAATCAAATGTGCTTTCAAGACCCTGCTCTGATACCAGATCGAGTTAATCTGCAGTATTACATAAACCTTGCGCCTCTATACAGGTAAAACTTCTTGCACACTTCTGAGATTGGTAAACTGGGATAGTTTCTACTTGGCAAATGATGCGTTAGTGGCAGCAAATTTCTTCTACAGCTTTATCGCAGTTTGTCTGAACTCTGTCGTTCCTGTAAAGGGTCGGTTTATGCCGCGCAATGAAATCATTTTCCATACCTGACAAATTTGCTCAAACGCACATGATACTTGAAAACGAACGACTTCTAACTAATGTTGCAGCAACAAAAGCTAAGCACCGAACTCAAGCAATTTTGGCAAACCGGACGCGTGACCGGGGAAGGCTACACCCTCAACAGTCTAAATAAAAAGCACGAATTTACCAAACTGAAAAAAGATATAAATCCACAGTAACCCCTCCATTTTGTTCTCTGACAACTAAACGACCATGGAGCCAGCTCACTCAAGCTACACTATGAACAAACACTTTCATTTTAACAGTATTACTGAGCTTCCTGTACAAATACTCTCTCTGCTTACTAATGATAATCACTGCCCAGTGGAATTCGATCTCTGTGACCCTTATCCGACTATGTTCTCCAGTAACTTAACTAAGCATGCTGGCCCTGATAATCTACCACCTACATTGCTAGAAAATTACGACGGCTTAGCTATTCCGATACTGCTTGCGAATATTTCTTCGCCATCTACGTAAGCTTGTATTATACCAGCAGAGTGGAAAATGCCATATATATTCCATGTTACAAATTAGGCGCTTTTCATAAATAAGCAAATACTAACCATTCAGTAATACTTCTATCCACTTTAAGATGATGGAACGTCAACTTTTGGCCAAAACCTTTATCTTATTGATTACTCAAAACCTTAACAACCCTGCACAAGCAGCTGCCGAATTTCGGGATGCTTTAAAACTTGTCAAAAATCTAAGTTCGCACACATGTGGTTAGTTTGCTTGACCGCGTTCCATAAGGTATATATATGATATAAGATATATATAAGATATATATAAGATATAAGATAAGATATAAGATATATATAAGATATATATAAATATATATGATACGATATGAAAAGCAATTAATCGTGTACCTCATGTTTAGAGTTTATCTACAATAACTGCATATGGCATAAGTAATGCTCTGCTTTACATCATTGTATTGTAGCGTCACGAAAGGTAAGTAGCGGAATAGGCAAGTCACAATATTTAAGGAAGAGGAGAACTAACGAACGCACTAGGGAAAAATTCGACAAAGAAGATCATGGCCTGAGGAAGAAGCTGGATATGGTCCACGAGCAACGAAAGATACCAGGTCCAGGCAGCGAATAAAGCGAGGGATATTTTGGTGAAGAGCCCAATTTTCCGAGGATATAGGCTTTTGACCAAGGCTACAGGCATAACTAGAAGAGCGAAGTAACCCCGATTAAGCAAGTCAAGTGCATTTGAACGAATCAAGTCCGGTCTGAATACGACGAGCAGAAGTGAACGTACGAGGACAAGTCGGTCAAGAAAGACCTCGAGCATTGACTAAAATCGGGACACGAATACCACACCGAGCGAAAGGACAATGTGTGGTGCGCGTTACGTTGAAATCATCCTCTACATGCGGGTGTGCGCGATATCCAGAGAACACGTTTTTCCTTGGCGATCAAGACTGTGCCTCCCTACATCCTTGTTCTCGCCACAATACCACTCGAACAAAACCCACGTTGCCCCGGTATAAATATAATAAGCACATCTAATCCAGTCACAGTTGCAAGATACAAGGCAGTGTTCTGGACGCTTTACTCTGCGTACTTAATGAAAGTACTTTTTGACCTTTATCACTGCCGAAACGTTTATTTGCCGACGACATATTATTTAAACTTTTACAACCACAGTTGTAAGTGCTGTTCCCAGCGCAACCCAATGTAACTTACTTAAACTTGTTTCATAGTGTTTCAACTATTCTTCTTTGACAATTCCTACAGATCCGAAATCACAGATTTTGCTTAATAGTGTTCGTAAACCATAGTCTCACTGCCGTACTATCAGCGTCCTTAGGATACACTACTAAACATCCTTAAATTCGCTGCGCTCGCCAGACATATTGTGGCACAAGCTCGTTGGAGCATCTGGCTTCTTTTCAAAATATTCACTATGAGAGATTCAGTCAAGGCCATACACAAATTGCAAACATGACTATCACTAGATTTTGTTTCGCGAGTCTATTGTTATCCCATGTTGATTGGTCGCATAATGTTGCAGCAATGGCAACGTTCATTTGCTAAACGTATCCTGGGCTGTTACACCGCTTTATTACTTTTGAATGGAGGCATTACCCTCCAACTCGATCCAGTATGGCTGCGCTGGATTAAAGCAAAGTTGGTCTTCTTCGGTACCCTTATCAGGCAACTACATCCTTGAAATCTAGGAATATAAATAAAAGACATGCAGGGTATCGCTCCAGGAACATCAGCAATAAAGTACTTGCAAAAAACTTAAGAATGAAGCATGTCCCCAGGTGACAGACCCATTGATGGCCGCCTTATATCCTTTTACCTTTTGAATTTATGTCCATCTATCCTTTCTCTCTAACTTTCCATACTACATATTCGATTAACTGATTGTGCACCCAAAATGTACTATTAGAACAACTTTAAATGTCCTGTAAACCTTTCTATTGCATATTATTCCGTTGTACAAAATGACCTGATCAACCAGCTTATATGCACATTTCAGTGTCGAGTAATGTAATGGTTATTCATCTATTATGTTTGATTGATTTTGTTATGGTTCGAAATCTTTACACTACTTTATGAAATACCATCTGCTACTGTACGTGATAAATCATTACCCCATGTTATCTTTCAAAAATAGGGTTTCATAGTGAATTGTCCCTTCTTTGTTCATAAAGTCATGCTTTTTATTTATGTGGTCAGTAATACTGGTTACTGAACTTTTAATCTTGCATCACTGGCAAGTTATTTCCGCACATTTTATACCGCTATCAGTTTTCTATATTATGCAACATGTTAAAAATTATGTCTACCAACGTTAGCTTGGCAATCGCTCTGTTGCTTTAATTGTATTGGCACAGATGGACGGTCAAACGTCCCATTTGCCAGTATTTACGTTCCTTCGTATGAAAGTGAGATAAACAAAAATGTACACAGCGCAAGCCTAGGTATGTTAGTAAATATTGTTACCTATCGTACTTGCACTTGGCTAACGCGAATGACCGATTCATGTTCCCCTGGCAATCCCAATACGACATAATTTATTTACAAAACTTGAAATCAAATAAAGTAGACTGGTCTCAAGTCCCTATATGGAAATCAAGTTCCTATGTCTGTGGATGGTATTTCCAACCAGACATATGTTATGGACCCTCCGGAAAAGCTTTTCCTACCGACAGGGTTTTGACAGAAATATGTGTCCCTGGGATGGAAAAGAGCATAACATCGTTTGTTCAACAGCCACCTTTAGCTCTGTATCAAGGAGTGGATGGACGAGTTTAGTAAAAGGAAAGCAACATTTTGTTAAAAAGTAGTGGTGGCACCAATAGATTGCGGTATTTAATGCCATGCCAAGACAAACTATGCCACTTGGTATTTTGTTCCTGCCTATGTGCTCGAATGAGCGAAACCACACCCAAACGCAATTGATGACAGTTCAGCAATTTCGCAGCACAGTCCAATCGTCAACTACAGCTCATGCCAATCGATCACTCGTGCTGCTCGGACATCAATCAAAATGGTCCTTTTTACCACAATTATACTAAGTTGGAACTTTTAGAAAATGGAACTTCGGTTAAACTAGCAACCGTTTTAGAGTTCACTAAGATTACTTGGACATTGAATAACTTTCTGTGGATACTGGGTCATAAAATCTGTTGATAGTTGTGTAATGGTCACCAAGCTGTTCATCTTAACCTTGAAGTCAAAGAGTCTGAATTAAATTCAACTTTGAGTATTAATATTTCCTTTTCAAACTGAAAACATACACTTGTATTCTGTTGTAAACATAAATGCAAGCCCCCAGTCACTCTATACTACCATTGATTATAATGCAGTTACGTAAAGTTTAACGGGTGAAGTTTTTTATTACTCAAACGCTACCAAAGTTAAGCTTGATTGAACTGCATGAAGGCAACGAGTGTATATACGTCTTTACAAAGTGGAACTTACGTAGCAGATGTAATATATATGGTAAGTGTGAATTCAGGATCACAACCATCACCAAGGAAATAGAAAAATTCGCACGTGTTCGAATTGACATCCAGACGAAGTGGATTAGAGTAACTGATGATTTCAAAAGTAAACTCGACTGATCCCTGGAGTGTGAATAGAAAATATGAAAATGTGGGGAATTATTGTGTTTTAGTCTTCTTCGGCATCATGTGCATTTCAAAATTTTCCCTTTTCTACTTTCAGTTATTGAATAGTACTTGGACAACAAAATCTCTCTTTACTTACGTTATTTCTGCTAGCGAAACCATTCATAAGCTTTTTTACATGTTACTCCTTAGAAGCTTTATCATCAAATCAGTTACATCCTTATACGCAGAGGTTCACGCCTTAAGTTCACTAACGGACTTGCATGAAAATATTATATCACCTGTGGAATTCACACCCATCCAACCATCACATCCAAAAGGGACATTAAAATAAAAGAACCATTAAACATGAATAAACAAAGCTTCTTTTCTTGACAGTGTGACTGTTTTACTCTCTCAAAGCACTAGAAGGATCAAGTAACTGAGTTCAATGGTAATAAATGCTACCATAATTCTTATTAGTACATTTAGTGCAAAAGTGCAGGCGAAGTAGCCAGCCACAATTTTAGAGTATTAATGTTCCTCCTTACCAAATGTCGATATGTTCTCGAAATCTATTTAGGAAACCACAGTTTGTTTCTTGTTTTTTCTATGCCAAGGTTATTCACTCGAAATTTTGCAAATGAATCATCCTGTCACAGGATGGAACAAACGATTCTCACCATGGTAGGCTACCGGATCTCAGCATGTCAGCAGCTGTCTTCCGGAGTAAGATTTACCGTGATGTAAGCGATTCGGATAGTGTCGACTATCCGTACACTGACTTGTCTATACGCGCACCGGTTACTTGTCTCGCAAGTGCAGTCTACTGGTACTATCAAATCAGTTTACACGCAATGAAACATGTGTCTTCAAGCTAGCATCCGCTACGGTATTAGTTAAACAACACTTTAACGCTACCTTATGGGTAAATATCCTTAAACAAACTTGCCCAGCAGAATCGTACCGTATTGATTGAATATTAATTAGAATTAAATTAGTGTAGTGGAGATTCTTTGCTGCTGTATACATTTCATGCCTTCGTGTGATCTAAAACATAACCGCGTATTTCGAAATGTGCTCTGCTCAGCTGCACTCAAGTTTTTTCCAAAAATGCTTTACTTCTCTATCGTCGATGTACCACCAAGCAGTGTGAACCACATAATGGAACACGTAACCACAGGATCAAACGCCTGTTTGCAATCTAAGCTGCAGAAATATTGGTTAAAATCAAATTCATAATAATCTCTGAAGCGAAACTACCACTTTATCTACGGTACGTTCTAATCACTGATAATATTTCGCCTGTAATTCTTCAGCGGCGAAGCTTTTACAAAACAGTTCTGATCGCACCAGTAGTGTCCGTTTAGTTTTCCTCAGCCACTATACAGAATGACATAGGTTATCAAGATACAAACTTTCCCAATGGATAACTGTTTATAAGTCATCGTAATGTCTCCATTTGCTAGTGCGACTACAGGACTTATTGAGATAGGGCCCATACTTCTTGGTATTGCAAAGCTAAAAGCACATACTGCTTGTCTATGTTTGTGATATACGCTTCATTTTGAAATTGGGTGCACCAATTAAACGCGCGAAGATAACAGGCGCAGGATAAGACACCAACTTTCCAAATAACCTTTATTATAATACATGCATTTTTATTAGTTAGTGGAATATGAAATATAATAACATACTTACCTGGCGCAACCGAGTCCAGTTTCGATTAAATACTATGATATATGGTAGGTCAATCCTACTAAGAATGGCCTGAACCGTTTGTAGGCATTAATTTGGCAATGGGCAGTTCATCTAAACTGACATGTGTGATGGTTGGAGCCGCATCCAGTAATATTGTGAACTGAATATGATCACAGGTCCATTGCAGTCAAACACATTTGTTACTATGAAATATTTAAATACATCGCAGTTGCTTATAACAAACAAGCTCTAAAGATCCGCATACATTAAAACTAAATATCCTTCAAACATGAATTTCCCTTTACAATTCCAAATAAGAAGATCAGGCCGAAGATTGTGGAATGACACTGTCATTTAGTGCATACTTGTCAACCACATATAAGCAACTAACAAGGCATGCGAAACAACGTCACATGAAAAGTACTGAACTAGTGTTCTCCGATTGGAGCATTGCACGCAACCACGGAGGGCTTAATGTCACTGTCAGCTTATTGTGGACACACAGTGGTGGGCGCTGTCGATCAAATACGATGGCCTCGAGTAACGAGTATGTGAGGCCTTTGACTGCACATGAGGACTGTGAGAGGTCTCCACTGCCCAGTGAGTCCAAAGTGCAAAGTTGGGTACGAAGGCTTGCTATGGGAATTTCTGAACAGGTACCTTTCCGAAAACTGTTATCCATGTGAGTTTTTGAAGTTATTGCGCAAGGGTAAAAGTCGTCCAATCGCGAGTACTCTTGAGAGGCTGATTCTAAGCCACCAAGAGACCTGTTTACGCAAAATTGATCAGCTCAAGGAAACGGCTTAACGTTACTATTCCTTATGTGGTTCTGTACCACTTGTGTACTGAAACAAATTCATTAACTGTTGCCATGACGTGGGAAAAACGATGTGTTCCGCATTATTCAAGTTCCAATCTGCCATTTCTAGTGAGCCACAAATTGATGAGTTATGGGCTGGCTGTTCAAAAGTTGTCCTCAATATGACATCACTGTCACTCAATCGATTGCAAACTAAAGCCCCATATTTAGGTCCTGGCTTCAGTCCGCCACCTCAGATTCCTTGAGTTTCCATGGACGCTAACCTCGAGTATCTATATGATCGTTGCTTCCTTGACTCTAACATCAACGGTTAATGACACGAGTTTTAAAACATACTGGTGAATATATCTCATTGTTTTTTAACGCTGCACTACAACAACGAATGTGCCTTACTGTTGATCACCATAAAGAGCTCGGATAGCTGGAACAAAGAAGTAATTGTCCTGGTGGCCAGCCCTGTCCTCTGCATATTCATAACATGCAAGACAGTGGAGGAGGAGCCGCGCTATATCGCAGTTAGGTATCAGTCATGGCGGCCCGCTACCGTCGCCCATGCCTCAGTGACATAAGTCGCTGACTTGCAAAAGTAAAGTTGTGAGTTCGAATCCGGCAGAATTCGACAGGTGCACGCTACTGATGAGTCCCAATAGGACGGAACTGACCTCTAGAGCTTTCGTGGATGTGTAGTGACTGTCTGCTTGTGTCTAACTGTGAGGAATCTACACAAAATGTGAAAGAACCAGTCATTTTAAAGTCTGATAAGGGTTCCTGTGGGGTCATCCTCAATAGGTCAGATTATCTACTCAAGGTGGACACTTTTTAGCATTCATTTGATGTTCAACTTCTTCCGCTAACCGGTCGCACTTTTGGGCTAAGTGAAATATTTTAATAATGTGATGGTTTAACACGGAGTATAAAACCAGAGATCCTCTTGGGAGCTGTCTCGATCTCTTACTTGTTGTTGGGAAAGTTTTCACACTTTCAATGGTGCCATTTAAAACAATGAGAGCAGGCGTTACTAAATTTGAATAATCTATTACATTCTGCCGATCCACCTTTACCCTTTGCATCTACTTGCTTTCTGCTAATCAGCATAGAGTTGCTACCTTATACATTGAGTTAGTTACGTTGGGTACTTGTCCGACGTTAGCTGGTTACACAACACAATCAGACGAGCGAGTTGGTTACAAAGATCAAGTTAGGGAAATTAATGGACGTTATGTCTGTGCTGCTCTGTTTGATGGCTCACGCTGGCGTCCTGGTTGACTAAAGCACAAAGAGTGGCAATTTGTTTTGAGTTATCGAGCAACTTCAATTGCATGCCGAACGAGCAGCAATACAGTAGGAAACGCGAGATGACTGCTGCGAATGAGATTAGAAAAGAACCCTTTTCCTTGACTTGCTCGCCTTAAGAATCTTCTTTCGAACCAGTGTAATAAAATCCACAAAATGCTTGATAGTGGATTATTGCAGCTTTTAGTTTCAGCATCCAAATCCGTCACAAACACAGACAGGAACCAGAAGTTGAAACGGTAAGCATAATCCGGAAGATACTTATGTATTTTGTAAGGCTTATAAGTCCGATTCAAAAGGATGGAAAGTCAGTGGTGTGCAGTAAATTAGTGAGAGATGGTCCACAGAAAGGCAAGAGGGTCAATTTGGATCGATCATACACTGGATACGAAAATAGTTGGGAAGCTTGTGCCACATGGCATGCTGATGCCCATGAGGTTAGACGTAAAGTACCGGGCTATTAGTTCTTCATAAAATGCTTAGTACATCGGGTTCCATCACATGAAACAAAGTGTAACCGATTAAAATTGTTAACCAGTGTAATATGGGTTCATGTAAACTAAATTATAGGCGGTACACTACCTGCATTTTACTATTCAGAATGCAGTTTAGTGTTTGGTGAAAATGGAAACATAGGTGGGGTGCGAAGGCACAGCTGCTTTAATCGTGCTTTCTTCAGCTTCATTAACAACATGAAAAGACACTGCGTTATTGAGTCAAAACCCCACTTTTGCCCAAGTCTGCCTCATTAGTGTGTAGTAGGGGATACGGTATGTGTTCGAAATTGTTCCTCACAGCTAGACACAGCGAGACAACCAGCACAAATCTGTGAAAACATTAGCTGACCGTTTCCCTCAAGTGGCACTTCGCAGGTTTATAGCATGAAAGACAGCGCTTAATCGCAGTTAAATAGCAGTCCGCAGTCTTCACACATGTAGCCCTGCTTTAGGTCGCTGGCGAGCAAGCCTGAGGTCATGCATTCGAAACCGGTGGGATTTGGCGGTTGCGCTCTACTGCCAGGTCCCAATAGAACAAAACGGCTGTTTAGCGCTTTCACTACTCTGCGGTATCTGTCCGGGTGAGTCTAGCTGCGACAAACATTCTCAAATAGTCTACCTCATTTCAAATAGTAACAGCGCATTTGTGGATATATATTATTATTCTTATTATACTCGCTTTCCAACCGTACATACGACAATCCACAACAATTATTTTTCCTTTTGTTATCTTCCTCTGGCAACTAACTGACCTTCTAAGAGAGGAAGAATTGGAACTAGCCCACCTGAGCTCATGAAGTAAAACGATAGGTTTTAGTTTTCAGCAACACATACCATACTTGTTGTACAAATGGTCCTTGATGATCTTTAAAGCGTTGGGCAAACATTTCTTATGTATTGATCAATGTCGATTAGTACTAGGTTTATCGGATTAATCATCAAATAGCATCCGTTGCAGGAATGGATTTCGTTGCGCATTATCAATGTGGACCGCGATTCGCATTGAAATGGACCTTGGTCAATGCCATCACTAAGCCTGGAACAAATGAATCAGATGGATACTGGATAATATGCACTCGAAAACACTGCACTCTTCTACGACTTTCAATTTTGTTTGAGCTCATCAGGCTGTGATAGCGGTCCTCTAATACGGGACCATTGGGTTGTCTTTTGGAACCTCTACTCATTTAGCAATCAGCACACGATGGACAACGCTTGGCACGACGGTTAATGACTGACTGATTAGAGAGTCATTTTGAGGTACTCGCTGTTTAATTGGATTGAGACGCGCAATCCCCAAGTGGACCGTGGTTCGCATTGAAGATAACGTTTGCGGAATTGATCACTAGGACCATAGCCGCTGCGAATGAGAATCGAGTGTTTTCCGCCTGAAAACACTGCACCTCACTACGCGTTTCAAACTTCTTAGATAACATCAGCTAGAGGGATGGGCACGCGGGAAACTGCACACAAGTATCATCGTGTTACCATCAGCATTTTACAAAACAAGTATACCACTTGCACCTTGGCAAGCCAAATGCTGATTCTAGTGTCAGTGTGTCCCACGTACCCAAAGAAAAGCACAGCCGCATTTGTCGAAACACAAAGCATAGGCACCAAAGCTGTTTTGAAATCGTCTGATTGGTGTCTAACCCACCTGTTGATAAGTACGTCCAAACAAAGCAATCGAAACTGACAAATTGCAGAGTCGTAAGGGACCAAATTCAACCACTAAGCCTTCTTTGTTTGTAGCTACATAAGCTACCAAGCTTAAGTAAACTTTACTATCCATAAACGCCATGAGTTACTTTTAGCAAGTGTACTCAGCTTGCATCATTACCCATTCTTCATTGCTCAAAGACACGTATTATTACTTAACACAAATTTTCGTGACATACTGTACTTATTTTAGAACACATTGTAAAAATAGGAAATGACCACAAAAATGAAAACTACATGCGAATACTTTTAACTTACTTTACTCCGACGTTGAAGAAGCAGAAAACATATTGTCACAAGATAGTTGCCGATCCTCATTGCTGCACTTACCAAATGAGCTTCGTCTACGTGCCAATACGAATGATTTTGTACTCTTGAACAATCCAAATGCTTTGCGTTGCCTGTGTTCACTGGCGCCAGCTTAACCGCAAAGGTACAAACACCGTCCTATATGGCAGGACCAATCAGACCAACACGAAGGAAAACTCAGTGCTTCGGCCTGTTTACTTTGGACACGCGCAGATGGCGAAAATGTAACTTTACTAGTCTAGTCGGTTCGATTCAACGTCCGACTGCGGCTTGTGTTGTTTCACCTGTTTACAGCGGCACTTCACTGGTGGATGGATTATCAGCTAGTAATACCATTTCGGTAAAGGCAGTAGTACTCAAGAACCGTAAGGTGTCAGCTAACATTACCACGTCTATGCAATTCCGATGGATTGACTGCGAAATCATTGGGGTTCAGCCTTGATCAAAAATGTCCCACCTAATTCATTTGCCCCAGCTTGTGATTGGTTACCACTTCTCGTGAAGTTTAGATGCATCTAAGTTATAGTGGCTCCTGCCCTAATGGTGGATGTACTCAAGGTACCTGAATTGCATCACGAGTAATATCAGTCAATCAAGGCACCGATCCTTGATGTCAAAGCTATCCTTTGTAGTTTCGCCTTAGAGACCAGCGTGTCTCTTCCCGCTCTGACGCTTGCACTTATTGCTTCGAACGGTTGTAGTAATCTTGGATCTCTACTCTAAGATGGTGCCACTGTGCGGTGACATTCAAAAATACGTTCCCAAACATGTGTACGCCATGTGGCTACCGGGGCTAAAACTGTTAATATCACAAACGAAAGCGAGAACCTAACTCGATGAAACGTAAAGGTCGAGGTGACGATCAAGAATAGGTGCGGATCCAGCCCTGACCCTTGTACATCCCAGCTAATTTAGATCAGTCAGTGAGATTTAGCCACGCATCTGCGAGCGCCCATGTAGGAATGTGCTTCCAAGTTCTCCAAAGACGCGGTCTTGAATTTCGCAGGGTGGTGCTAAATAAAGGATGCGGTTATCCAGGTGATAGAAGACTTCGGAAAGGTCTATATAAAGGATAATAGTCCCTGTTCTAGCATGAAGATTTTCAGTCCAATTTTCACGTGCAGTCAGTAGGTTAGTGGTACATGCTGGGTGTAATACATCTTAGTTTCGGTAAGTAATCGTTTGGGGGCATACGCACTATAATTCACGTAACCCTAGTGTAAGAAATACGTTTGAACGGAACTCGGTGTATTCGACAACTGACAGGATATCCTAGACCGACATTCGCTGATGACACTAGGTTAGTAATATGTGTGTCTGCGTGCGTGTGTTCGTGCATGTAGGTGTTGTCTCGCAGCGAGACGGGAGTAGGGTTTGACTTCTGATGAATGTGTAACGCGGTGTCGATAGGAGAGGTGTTACTCTGGTACTATGATTTTGGTTCCTACTAAATAACTCATAGGGGCTTAATCAGCGGCCGCCCACATTTCCCTTGATAGCACTGAAAGAAAGGTTCCTGGACGGTAGTTTGTTGGTTCTAAACCGTCATAATCCATAGTAATCAGGGTACTGTTTACCATGAGTCCACAAAGTAGAGAGCTGATGTTCATCCAAGCACATGTGTAGGAATCGTGACACTGGCTATGTTAGCATCACAGTAGCCTCCTCCGAGATTTTAGCTCGTCTTATATCAACTCCGAGAAAACCATGAGTACACAAAGAAAGCAGCTTCTACAGCAAATCTGCCCAACTAAAGTGGATGTGGTATATCTTGGTGTTTGGTGAGTAAAGGACGTAAGTGATATAAGCTGCTGACACGTTGCAATATGGATACTGTTGTAACCCTAGGTCGTTGGCTGCATCCTAGGTGCCTTGAGCCCTTTCATCTACTAAAATGTGTGTGGGTATGCCATGTACAAGACCTTGCTAGGCACTACTAATGTGTTAATTCGTCCTCCCGGACAATGGAACAACGGTTTATTACGGGTAAAAAAGTATTGCTTAACCATCCCTGTGGGATGGAAATTATTATTAAGGATAAAGTGAAAAGTGATTCGGTGGACTCACCATAAACTTATGTAGAATAGAGGAAATGTTCGTGTATTAAACGTATAAATCCATAAATCCATTGGTTAAAAGTTTGGCAAGACACCGTTTGATTGCTTTTTGTAGCCCCTGGCTAAAAATTCATAAAATGAAATGTAAATGGGACAATGCATTATCAACTCGTTTTTTAAATATCGCCAGCTTATGGGCAGAGACGACATGATTAGGGAGGGCGTTCCAAGGCTGGCAAACGCAGAAGAAAAAGAAATTTCTACAGCTTTCAAGCCGGCTATACTGAATTATCAGTTTCAGAGGGTGACCTCTTAGGTTAGTGTTGTGGTTCAATTCCAGCAGCGGATGGCTAATGTGTTTTGGGTTGTTCAGAATCTGGTAAACCATTATGAGATCCCCTAGCAAAGGCCAATATCGACTGCTGTACATTCTTAGAGATTTCAATCTATGCTGATAGGACAGATGAAAGGGATCTCTGACGTTCTTAGTTGCTTTTCGTTGAGGAGTCTTGAGAGCAACGAGATCCTGTTTCTGCCACTGCTGCCACGCCTGAATAGCATATCCCATGTGCGATCGCGCGTAGGCGTTAAGCATTTGGGGAAAGATTGAGGGTTCAAACCGACCGAAGGCTCTGTGAAGAAGGCCGAAGTATTGATTGCCGGTTTTCAACGCCTTCTCTGCTTGTTTTGAACACCCGAGATCTTCCTGTACCCATACACCCAGGTCACGCTCCTGAGAGACCTATTGCAAGGTGTGGTCTCCAAGCTTGTAAGCACTCACAGGCTGGTGACTCAGATGGATCAAATTACAAGTGTGGTGTTGTGATTACAATGCGCCACATAGTGGTTCCATATGTCAAGACTAGCGATACGTTGTACGCACCCCAGGCGGCGCCTCTTATTGACCTGCCACTAATAAAGGATAGTTTTCTGGAACCAGGCCCATTTCTGATGCAGCTGTGAACATATTGCTAAAGTTTTCAACAAACTTCTTCCAGATTCTATCAAAGAGGTATGTAGTGAGGATGTAGTGCTTAGTTGTACTCACAAGCTAATTGTATGCTTGTATCTACTCGGCATGACACGCAGTCATAGTATATGGCGCCTTGATCACCCAGCTCTGAAAGGTTCCATGTCTTCGTCTTATTGATCTCGAGCATTTTGCTTGTAAGCAACATAGCATGAACTGATGTTTTGTATCCTGTTCTAAGTCTGGTGGTTTTAACAACATAGTCGAATGGTGGGACAAATGCGGTAAGTTTTACAAGTAGGCCATGAATTGCTCACTGGGTCATATCGAAACTTCCAGATCGTAAACACTTCTGCTACTTGTGATGGGAAGATTCTTGCATCTGGGTAGCATAACTATTCTCCTGGTAAGTGTTGGACGATACTTTGTCTCTGGTGTAACTATAAAGAGACGATGAACAACTGCTATTGATAAAGCGGGTAGCTTGGCGTCTTAGTCGCAGAGGGAACCAGAATGATCCCGTAATGAGTATCGCTAGATCCGCCAGTGAATGACAACGCAAGTCGTTGCAATTTATACAGGAGAACCCTAGTTCTCTTTCTGGATCGATTGTTTCGAACTGCCAACATACCCTGAATCACAACCTTGGCGTTCGTAAATTCCGAGTGCAACCGAGCTTCAATTAATAGGTTGATGTTCTAAAGGACTGGTGCTGATACAGTCAAAGTTCAGCAAACATTTTGATGCTGCCTTGTACATGCGGGAATCTTCTTTGACCTCAGTGGTGAATAGTAAGCCACTATCTGTTTTCTGAGTAGAGTAAGGACGAATGAATCTATGTCAGACCCAGTGAATCCATAAGTTGCCCCTCCATCATCTCTTTATGTGTAACCTATGGGTATGTCAACCAGTCCCAGCCACTGGCTGAATGATGCTATCCGAACCACTTTAGTAATTAGTTTGACTACATTTTTCCTGTCATTTGTTTACTCAGAGGATCCCGCTTTGAGCCGGAGTTAGAAAGGCAGTCCGCTGCGAGGCGCACAACTGCTTCCAATAGATTGGTTAATCACGGTCTGGATTGAAGCAACACCTACAATATCTTTGAGCAGAATCGTTAGTACTTTAAGTTGTTGGTCTGAACATTTTACTCTGTGCGTTCTTATAAAGAGCGTGCCCAAATTTAGCCTTAGTGCTCCTGGTCGTAATATTTTGTTTTACTTTCTTCATGTATTCCAACTTCTGGGATACAGTTAGTAAACGTCGTTGTTTTTTCCAGCAGTCTTCTAGGCCATGGTTTTCTTTTATGTGCGCAACCCATGTAACATCAGGGAAGAGGCGAACAGAACTGGGCGCGCGCCAGCACCGTAAGTTCGAAGTAACAATACTGTCCTCCTATTCGGCAGAATTCAGCAAAAGTTGTACGAGTCTTGGCTGATCGTCGTGTTTTGCGTTGGCGTAATGTACAACGCGCATGACGTTAGCGGGCGTAGTTACAACAGCTACGGTATCGGGTATGAAATTCCACTGGCTCATCTAGTTGCTTTTCGTTAAAGGACATTAACCTTTAATTTTCTATGTTGGTGCAGATTACTGGTGGTACGTTAGTTGATTTATTAAAGATCATTTGTGCAACTTGATTTATGGTACAGTGCACCTATAGTTTGTATGTACTTGACGGTGGTTGTGTACATTTAGTTTTGCCTCGCTTGTTTGTTTGGACCAAGTGGAAGTAGCTGGTGACCCGAATTCCCGAGGGTTATCATATTTTAACTATCCCGATAGGGAACACATTTCCAGCTATGATACATATGATACTACCGCTACCAATGCAACAATCACAGTCACGGCGCACCGAAGATGTCAACCCGACTGATGACAAAAGGTTTGTATTTGAATGGCTCTGCCTGGCGACCTAATCAAAATCTTCGTCTCATGCACTACTGCTGTCAAGATGCCTCCGAGATTTCGGGGTGCTTTTA